AATGCTATAAATGATTCTTTGAACAAAGAATAAACATTTTCACTTTCTAAACAATTAAGCCTTGTATAAAATTTGTAACTAACAGAAAGTAACAGAAAAGAATCTAACTAAATCTTCCAGAATGTAAGAAAAATGAATACCGTGAGTTGCTTTAGAATGTAACAGCACAGGAACAAAAATCAAAGCCTAAAAAGTGATAAACAACTAAACTATATTAAATAAATAAACCTAACACATATAAATTGATAATTAAATAAATAATGTATAAAATTTGTAAAACAATAACAATTTGGCAAACTAGTTTTGACAGTAGCCAATCATATATTTTGGATGCAATAATATAACTTTTGACACATGTATCAAATTAAAATAATAATTCAACAAATGCAATTGAACACAATATAAAACAATGAAAAATAAATTAGAAAGATCTAGCCTTTGAGAGTCTGTGAGGCACGTTGGAACGTTGTCCTAAAAACAACTGAGTCTCCCTACGTAAAGGTATTAGCAGACTGCAGCGACTCCAAGATACAACCGAGAATCAAAAGCAAGAACTCCCCAGGATTCATGTACATCGAAGAGTAGAGATGAATCTGACTTTACTCGAGTTGCCCGAAAATTAATATAATCAAAATAATCAAGTGCAGTAGTAATCAAAAAAGAAAACTGAAGAAAAGGACGAACGAGAGATGGAAATGGAAGCGAGATGGAGATGGCAGATATATGGTTGTTGTCAGGTTTTCTCTATATATTAAATACTTCATTGACTTTGCTTTTATATAGGCAGATGCTTTCCCAATCGGTGGAAAGAAAAAAAAAAAAGGCAGTTGAAAAATGTTGTTGAGAAGGAAAAGTACACAACGGTTTGACATGTCAAATTGGGTTGCAACTATTCAAATAAAACAAACTTAAATTCAAGTTTCAAAGTTTAACTGATGAAGAATTCCTCCACATGTACATGGTATAAAATAATCCAAAACATTAAATATCTCTTAGGAAAAAGATGAAATATGCAATCATTTTTGCAAGAAAAAGAACAAGGAAAAACTAAATTTATTCTAACATGTTCTTTGCTAACATCATCTAGTCCCTCCAAACTATTCCATCTTTTGATATCATACAAACTGCAATTGTTGTTTTGCGGTAGCATTAGTATCCAAATGTCACCTAAGTTGAGCACCTCATCAAAGAGTGATAATAAATGGAATTATGGGTGCTTGCTTAAGGGATGCCCTATGCAAAAGAAGTCCACCCAATCATCGAGATGTTATGAGATCTTGGTAACTGCTATAGTGTGGATTGAATACAGTCGTTCTTGACAAACAAGGGACATCCTTCGGCCGAGTTGGGTTTTTCTTCGTTGTTATGCTGTTGCCTAGTTGATCTATGGATAGCATTGAAATTTCAAGAACTTCCGCTCTTTAGCATTTGTAGTCACCGAAGCATTTTCCTTCTTTACTTATGCCTCTAGTTTGAATATAGAGTTTCTTTATTTTGTCTTCCTTTCATCTCTGAGATTTCATGTACACATGCAGTGTGGACTGGGTGATGCTTTCCGGTGCAGTGCACATCCACACAAGCCATTTAAACTGGGTGAGAAGGTATGTACTGAGATAAGCTCTCTCTCTCTCTCTCTCTCTCTCTCTAGGGTAATTGCATAGTATAGTGGTAAAAATTAGCAACAAAATTGAGGATTTCTAAGTGTAGTCACTTTGCACGAATATTGCCAAAGGTCGACCTCACCAAAAAATCGAAGAAGTTCCTTTAAATGGAGAAAGTGGGTTGTACACCCATACTTATCCTTCTGACTTTGATCTGTAGTATCTGAGGGTTATACTCAAATGACAATGACAATTGGAAGTAAATTTACTTATTTATTGTATGTTATTTTTTTTGCAGGTTACTTTACCTGGGAATTTTTTGGCGGCTGATGTCTAAATACCAACAATCAAGCTGGATGTAATGTCATTATTTTTTATGTTTTGGATACCACAGGATTAGTAGGTTCATCAACTGTAAGTCTTTGTTTCAAGATTTTGGGTGTAGTTTTGTCTCTGCCTACATGATGAGTAGTCCATTGTATGCTCATTGCGTCTGACGAGAGGAAAAATTTTGATTGTGTTTTTACTGAACCTTTCAAGTAGCCGAAAGCATTTATAGAGAAGAAATGATTTGGTGGCAGACCAATATTGTTAGTGGCTAGATAAGTAAGATGCATCTTTTTTCCAGTGTGGTATACGGGTCCAGTATTTTTACTCCCAGTTAAACCATGCCGGCAGGTATACTACCTTTAAAAAAGTTCCAGAAAGTAACACCTAAGCTATGACACGAACATAATATTTGATTAGCTAGAATAAGCTAGAATTTAGGCGGATATTATGGTCAGAAGTAGTGCTCTTAGAAGATCAGATGATGTTGTAGAAAAATGCAATATAAATAGGGCAGAAGTTGCATGCCACAATTTTGTAGCATAATAATGTTCTGACCATAAATCCTTGTACTTTGGGGCTGTAATATAGTTCAATTTCTGATATGAAACCATTGTGGATTTTGTTGCAAGTGCACCCTAATACCGAATGAGTGGCCAAGTCTAGTTCTCATCGACACCCTATCAACGCAAAGCTCGATCGACCACCATTTGAAGCCATGTAAGTAGGGACGGAGCATAGTTGTTGCCTAGGGGAGCCATGACTTACCCGGGGGTTCTAAAAAGCCTTGCTTTGCTCTTTCCTTGCTCTTTCATAGCCACCACAATCTGAACATAATTCACCACCCAACATCTTTTAAAAACCTGAAATCACCCCCCAAAACACATCACCATTTATCATCTCCGTCGCTGTCCACCATCTAGGTCCACCTCATAAACAACCCACATCAGGTGGTGCACAAAGATGGTGTTCATATCATTATCGTTCAATTTTACTCAAAGAACTAAAATAAATATCACTGTCTCCAGTTTTGAGAGTGATCCATGCCACTTACTGATGGGCCCTTCCTGCAATTAACAACACATAAATGTTGTATTGATTTTTTATAAAACTAAATTGATACAATGTCTTTTTGAAGAGACTGAGATTCGGTGGTTGCTTAAAGAAGACAGAATTCGTAAATGGCTGAACGAAGAAAAAATAAAACAAACGTTGTTGAAGTTTTTGAAACCAAAATCGATACAGTGTCTACTTGGAGAGGATGAAATTCGGTGGCTGCTTAAAGAAAATAGAACCCGTAAATGGGTCAATGGAGAAAAAAAAAACTTTGACGAGCTAGAATATTAATGGAATCGTTTCAAAATTCAAAAGATTAATTATCCATTAATTTAAGAAACCACTTATCTAATAAAACAGAATCAAAAACAAGTATCATTGTTGTTATTGTTTTCTTTTTGTGTTGTTGCCTATGTGTAACTACAAAGAGCAACATAAAAAAAAAACACAATCCAAGAAAAAGTAACACCAAAAAGTGAATTCAAAAAGTGACGTTATAGCTTTGTAGTGACCAAGCTATGCAATTAGTTTATCACTCTATGGTATCTCTCTATGAACACAATCCAATGTATGTTATAGTCTGTATTGGCCAAGCAATGAAATCAATTTGTTACTCTTTGGTGTCTCTCTATAAACACAATCCAATGTCTATTATAGTATGTACTGGTCAAGCAATGAAATCACTTTGTTACTCAATGATGTCTCTCTATGAACACAATTCAATGTTTGTTATAGTCCATAGTGGTCAAACCATAAAATTAGGTTGTCACTCTATGATGTCTCTATATGAATAGCAAGCCATTGTTTGTGTTGCATGTAGTGCACAAGTAGTGAAATCAAATTGTCTTTCTCGAGTCTCTCTATGGACACAAGTCAATGTTTTTTGTACTTTGTAGTGGCCAAGTCATGCAATTAGTTTGCACTCTATAGTGTCTCTCTATTAGCACAATTCAATGTTTGTCGTAATATATAATGGTCAAGTTATGAAATTAATTTGTCACTCTATGATGTCACAACTGCAATTTTATTTTGTTTAATAAAATCTCGTTATAACAAGGCATATTTTATTAATAAAATAAAAATAACATGAAACTAGGGGGACAATGAACCTTACCACTTTATGTAATCTAATACAATTAATAATTGATCAATGAAAGAATACTTAAACATTGCATAAAAAATTAAAAAAAAAAAAACAAAATGCCCAACAGAGTCCTTAAACCATCCAAATTCTGCTACCACCTTTAGAGATCCCTCCAATGAAATTTCCCCATTTGGTTGAAAATTCCTTGATAATCCCACAAAAGATGTAACCTACCATCTAAAGGAAAATCCTTCCAACTAAAAAAAATCTTTGGTTGTTGGTAAAGAATCCTTTTTTTTTTGCCTAAAAAACTGTGAGGAATGCTACAAAAGTTAAATAAAATTCAAAAAGTTATATCCCAAATACATATAATATCTTGGATGAGTGAGTCCCAATAAATTTTTTAGTGAGATCCACTCATTTAAGGAATAATATACATTTAAATTCAATCTGCTTAAGATACGAGAAATCCTCGTACAAATATGCCACAACTTCTAATTAAACTCCAGAACACCATTTGTCATCTCTACCAAAATCTTGGAGTCCAATTCTATAGAAATTTTGTAGTCATTTAATGCAAAATCCTGTAAAAGCTAGAGTCTATCATATAACCCCAAAAAAATCAGCCTCCACATTTAGGGGCGTTAATTGAGACGAGTTACTCGGGCTCGACCTGGATTCAGTTCATGTTTGGTTCAGATAAAACTCAGCTCGAGCTTGAGCTCGTGATCTAACGAACTGAATTTTGAAAAATTTTCAGACTCATTTATAAAAATGAGTAAAAGATTCGGCTCAAGTTCGTAAAGTTCGGCTCGTTTATATGTAAAATAATCAAGTTACTCGGACTTGGCTTGGGTTAAACTCGGGCTTGGCTCAAGTTCTAAACAAGTCCGAACTTGAACAATTTTTTAGGTTCGTTTAAAAAACAAGCTCGATAAGTTTGGGCTTAAACTCGCAAAGTTTGGCTCGATTAAGACCCCTATCTATATTAATAGATTCTTCATAGTAATTAGAGCCTGCAATAATTATCTGTGATTCAAAATTCCAAAGCAAAAATCGACGACCAAATTCACTGCGATTTTAGTTGTCGTTTTCTCTGGAAGAGTTGTTTTTTTTTCCGATTGGTTTCTAAACCGATGTTTTATACCAATTAATCTTAAGTTTAAGAGTATGATAGTCATTCAAACTCAAAATAAATTTTTACACAAAATATTTTTCAAAATGGACTTCCATTCCAATAATTTATGCGTACCAACAGCAAAATTTCCCTTTATTTTTTTACTTTACTGTGAAGTCAGTCAAATTTGTGTTCATATTTGTGATCAGCTCAGTTAAAGAATATAACACCAATTAAATGGGTTGGCAACGAAGATTAATGCTCCGTTTGGAACAATGAAAAAATAGAAAGTTGAAAAGATAAAAATTTAGAAGGATAAATAAAACATCATGTTTGATAAAGAAAGAAAATAAGAACGATGAAAAAATAGATGGATTAACTTTCCTTCAAACTCACAAAAATTAACCTCTCCAAAATTAGGAGAAAAGTGGATAAAAAATTAATTATGTGAAAAATGTATATTATTTATCTATATATCATTTGATATATACATATATGATATTTATTTTGTCATCCTTTTATTTTTTTTATTAATACCAAATAAAAAAAATTAATAATTTTTACTTTCCAACAATCATACCAAACAAAAAAAAAAGTGTATCATTTATACTTTCCTTCTTTAGAGGATAAAAAAAGTATCGTTCATATTTTTCATTTCTCATATTTTCTATTAGTATAAATGGTCCTTGATTCTCTCGAGCTTTTTAAGAGACGAGTCCTTTGGCAAGTATTGATTTCTAATGTTCCTTCTTTTGATGTTTTAGTAAGCTCTACTTTTAGGCGTCTTTTCACCCTTATACGAGTGTCTTTTTCTTTGCTATAGATGCCTTGTTCTAGAAATATTAATTACATTTACATTAAAAATGTAAAACAGAATATATTTTTTCCCAACCATATCATTCAAATACCAAATGCAAAACTTAAAAGAGTATCTAGCAAAAGAGGTTCCAATATACTTTTCCTTTCTCCAGGTAGATGAGGTAGAATCGCTTGAAAATAGTTACTAGCAAGGTACTCACCAAAAGAAGGAGAAGGAACAACATTGGTTAACGGAGCATGACCTCTACATCACGTGTTTCTAAAGCAGGCATCTTCGAAGAGAACTCTTTCACATCGGACATCACATGAATTTGCACTTCAACAACCAGACTATCTAGAAATACAAAACCCTTCGGTTTGTCATGCAGATCGTGAAGAGAAATTAGATCGAATAAGCCCCAGCCTTCACTTAGGTCACAGAACCAAAAATCACCTGTGATAGAATAATTACGAGGAAATTCTAGACGACGAGAACAAGCTAATTTTAAAAGGAAAATAGTGACAAACCAGTTTCCCAGTCTCTGTAAAAAGCACATATGTTAAAGATGGAGGGCAAGTGTTCACCTTTCATTTTGCAGTGTTTGTCATGGACTTGGTCTTTTACCAAGATGCTAAATTCCACATACAATTTTACCTTGGTTGGAAGGGATCCGCAATTATCTAACCATAGAAAGACAGATAAGCTATTGCCCTTTCCACTGCCATGTCCTTTGGGATAAACAACTATCTTCCTAGATCAATAAAGAAAGGAACATATAAGAAACAATTCCATCTGGTTATGGTACATAGAGAATAAGAATTGAGGAACTCCAAGGGCTCAAACCATTTGTGCTTTCCAATGGTGAAAGGTTCAGAGAACAAACGCTCCTCTTTTATTTCTGAAAATTTTTTGATCTCCCAAGAGTAACTATTGTCGTAAGTTTCCTCCTTCAAAGAAAGACACTCTCCTTTACTAGTAGATTTAATGACATAAACCTCAGCTCCAAACACACAGGAGTCATCAATAAGGTATCCGTTAGAAGCATCTTTGAAAGTGTCAAGGGAAAGTAATTTGGCAAAACCAAACTCCCTCTTAAACTCGTGGAAATGTCTTAAACCTGTGGAAAGTAATTTGCGCCGGTTATGCAAAGAAAAAATTTAAGTTATACTTTCTGACCACTTAAACAAACTTATTATTACTACGAGTGTAAGAATGTGCATTTTGAGAAATCTTACTTTGGAGGGTCAAGTACTTGTCTCGGATACGATAATACACAAACAATTCGAATTTGACATTAACCTCCCAACCAAGAGGATATGGATCTGCCTCTGATATTGCCAAGTAGAGAGAGATATGCCCTTTCCCCTTTTCCTTCTCGTATCCATGCGGATATAGACACAATTTCCTGCAGACAAGGCAAAGCACACAATGAGAAAACTTATCTTGGATTTTAAAAAACAAGAAGACTGCCCGCAAGTGAGAAGAAAGGATTTTTATTTCAACTCACCATTTGTAACCACCAGATTCAAAGTCACTCGATTCAAATCTTTTCTCTTTTGCCTTGGAAAGCAGTGAGAACAATTTGATTTGAAATAGGTAATCACTTGGTGGAACCTCTCTCAGTGTCCTCGAAATTTCTGCACATACCCAAAAGGGTTCATACTTTGCTACATTCACTGTTTTATATAGAAACTTGATTGCAGATAATATATTCTTAAAAAATTCTGAAAAATACAAAGAAAGAGAAAAACAGAAAAAAAAAAAAGGTATGAAATGAATTTATATCATAGGTTCCTCTTGTGTCTTGATGAATAATAAATACTTTGCGCAAATTTAAAATAAAACGTTCAGACCAACGTTACACGGATCGTGTGTCGATTGAGTACATGGTACACTACTTGTTCTAATACACGGTACAATGGGAGTAGCCTTAGTTGGTAACATATTTTGAGTCATGGTTCGTTTTGTAACATTTATATAGAATAATATATTGATATACACGTAGTTAATAAATATTTATTTTAAAGGACATCAAAATAAAGAAATAACGAGTTAGAATTATGATTTAGGGTTCGATTTATGATGTGGATTACTTATATCATGAATCAATTTACAGTTAAACTTATAATTTTGGATCAGGACTTTGAGTAATCTGAATCGCGTACATACCTTATTTCAATTCGTGCCAACTTGGTTCATGGGACGCTAAGGATATCTACGATACCAGTATATATGGTTTAGACACCTCTAATACAATGCTCTGACTTCAACATCTAGATATTTTGTTTCAAACGCTTAAAAAACACATAAGCATCCAGAGGGAGACAATGATTACCAACTGTACCATTATTGATAGGGAAAGGATAGATAGACTTCTCATCCATGATTGTCGTCTTATGTTTACGAAGAACGAGGTCTTCTTCTACTCGATATTTGATGTGAGTGATTGGATCGCCTGCTTGGTTCCCTGTTGAGGAATATTGAGATGCTATATATGTATATATATAAATACATATTAGGTATTGTCTTCTGCAATATGAGATTTAATAAGGCAATCTCACAGACGAGCAAAGTACCAATAAAATCAGAGGCGAATGAACTGAGAATCAAAGTCCTAGCTCACAAAACTCATTTTTCACTCACAAATGAGATTTAATCGCATTTTAAAATGTGAAAGACTAATCTATATATAAAGCCAGTTTCTATGAAAAAATGATATTGATATCTACCAAACAAAGAAGTATAGTCATAAAATTTCTGTGTCTCGCTCAGCATATTAAGGAAACCTGAGATGTCACCTGCAAAATACACATACAAAAATAATTGACAACTTGGGAAATATATGTCGATTTTAAAAAAAAAAAAAAAACCAAACAAACAGAGATACAGTGTGCGGAAATAGATATGTGCTTGCATTCACATAAATATAGACAAAAAGGACTATAATATGACAAAATTGTGAAAAAAAACAGAAACATTAAAGTAGTAAAATGTCAATAGTTATCATAAAATAGCCCAAAATAAAGCAGAAAAAAAAAAATTCCAACCACAACATTTCTAGTTTACTATATCTTCAATTACACATTTTTTATTATCAAAAACATCACTGACACTCCCTTATTGAACTGATTAAAATGTATTTTTCTATATATTAAAATTTAAGTTGATTAAAATATAATTCAAGCTGATTAAATTTTATTTTTTACGTATTAAAATTCAAATCTATTAAAATTCTTTTTTTAGGAATTAAAATTCGAGTCTATTTGAGCTACACTAGTGTTGTTAGCGTCAATTAAAATTTATATTTTTTATTATTAAAATTCATAAAATTAAAAATTCGATTCAAGTTGATTAAAATTTATTTTTTATGTATTAAAATTTAAATCGATTAAAATTTATATTTTTTTATGTATCAAAATTCAGACTAATTAAAATTCTACGCGAGTTGATTAAAATTTAATTTGAGCCGATTAAAAATGATTAATTTTTAATTGACCCAAATTTTAATACGTAAAAATAAATTTTAATTAACTCGAATCAAATTTTAATACATAAAAAAAATTTAAAATAAAGGGAGTTTTCCTCAAATATATCACGGACAATTTAGCAAAATTGCATTCTAACTAACAATCTTTAATCTGACAGGAGTGTCAATAAAGATTCAAAAAATAGAGGGAGCGTCGTTACAAATACGAAAAACTAGAAGGAGTGCGAGTGAAATTTTCCCCAAAAAAAAACGCACCATGAGATACTGAACCTAGCTTCTCTCTTAACAATAAAGACACAAACACTTTATTCTCTCTCTAAACGCACTGTCTCCTCGTATCTCCTTTTACATACTATCGGTAATACATATGTATGTATATATTAGAGAAGTGAGACGAAAATAAGAAAGTAATCTTTGACCGAACAGAGAGTATCTGATAGTCTGGAACTTTTAGTCACCCAAAATCACGGAGGTTCGCCTGAGAAAGGAGTTCTTAAGTGAAGTTCACACCCCAATTTTTTTTTCTCTTTTTTCTTTTTTTTTAAAAAAAATAACTGAACCTGATTGAGGAATAAGACAATACATAACTCATAATAACTTTTCCTATGTTATTATTAACATATTCAGCATACAATTACATAAAGATAATATTTTTTTTTTTGATAACAAAAAAGCATGCTATCTATATTCCACAACATCCATTAGATTGCAAGAAACACTAGTTTCATAGTTCATCTTCCTTTAAACAACATAAGGTTGATACTCAGCACACATCTAGGAACAACCATTATTTAGTGCTGCTTCCCATGTCTAATCTCGGAAATTATCACATCATTCAAATAACCAGAATATTCTTAGAAGTCTTTCGGTTCATGAGCTTCCACATCCCGCTTAATTCTCAGGCTTCATATCATTAATGGTTTTGGAAATAATTGTAGTCACTGCTTTTCCACCTGGGATCCCTTTGACGCCTTCATGCACGGCATAATTGGCTGCGTTTTTACCTAACTTAATGACAAACAGGGCGATGTTAGCCCGGGCTTCATCATTGGGCATGTACTTATTCACCGTTGAGTTGATGAAGTCCCAAATTACCATCTCACTCTCCCTCTCTCTTGAGTCAATCTGACATAAAGGTAATATCAACTAAAAAGTTGTTAGAGACGATATAAAGAGAAATAATAATAGGGGTTTTTATCCACCGTTTTTTCTGTTTATCTATCTGTGTCTGATTTCATATTTATGAGAAATGTCACACGGGGATGAGCTCACTAGCACAGTAAGTTAGAGTGCATCAATGACTATCAAGATTTTAAAGTAATATGTAAATATAATTAAATAACAAGTAAATGCAGGGATATGTCAAAATAATAAATTAAATAAATAAATAAATAAAATATTGCACATATTGATCATATCAATTCGGCAATTTTTTAGGTCCACACATGAACTGTCTCTAAAAAAAACTTTGGGGTCTTACAACTTAATGAACTCAATGCTCGTCTTGATTTTCTGGGAACACTAATACCAGAATTTCTGTGGCACCACACAAGCCACCAACAACAACCGATATTACTAACAAGTAAATCTAAGAACTAGTAAAAATTTTGTGAATTCTCGTAAGGATTACGCGTTTACAAACCCCCGCCCGGCCATCTAAAATATGCATCCATGATAATTTTGTCAAAATTATAAAGTAGAGTCATATTATATTCAGACTCAACAACACGTAGAAAATTAAACACTAAATAAATAATCAAAAAGAAAAAAAATATATTTTATATGTCACTTGGTTTCACAAAATGATTAAGGTCTCGATATATAAAAAAAAATATAACATGTGAATGACCGTTATTTATTTATAAAACTCAAGTTCGACTTCATGATTAAAGTGATATAATATTACATCATATAATTAAAATAGATTTAATATGAAACCCCCAAACATGCATGAGATGCATCAATGACAATAAAAGATAAAAAAAAACCTATTTTTTACGTAACATTTACTCAATACCGTATACTATGACAAAACAATTGAAATAATATTTTAGAATAAAAATAAGTAAGAAGTACTTAGTTAAACTACAATAATATTTAGAATAACTAAAAAAAATAATAATACTTAAATTTGATCTAAAAATATTTAACAAGGATTAAATTTAAGTGATTAAACCTATAAAATTAATAGATAATAACTCAAAAGATCTTACCTAAAATTTTGATAGTAAAAATGAACTCCAAGATGAACAAAATGTTGACCCTTTTCTTGTTTTTCACTCTTCCTTCCCCTCTCTTTTTCTTCTCTTTGCTGTTTTGTTCGAAAGGCCAAAGGCAGGCTATTTATAGTGAAAGCCTTAGCTTTCAACGTCAGTTTCAATTACGTGATATGGACAGTTGTCCATTTGTTTAGCATATGTCTTATTTTTTTATTTTTTATTTTTGCACTTTTTAAATTTTTGCAGCTCATGTTATAGGACACTTATCCCCTAGAGTCTAAACGTAACACACACACACATATATGTTTATAGATATATCCACTCATCATACTTTTATAAAATTTTATTTAAATAATTGTTATTTGACTCGTGAAGAATCTATATTTGAAGTCCATATGTCCATTTTAATTAATTAATTAATTTATGTATCCTTTGAATTTAATTAATTAATTATTTTGTTCTAGAATCATAATTAATGATCTAATTAACATGTTAATAATTAATTATTGTTATTATTTTTTTTAATACGGGTCGTCATAAAGTCGCCGGAGCATGGAGACAGAGAGAGATGGGGAAAAACGTGACCAGAGGAGTGAGAATATGCGTGAGTAAGAAGCAAAAAATGTACCTCTGCCGCTTTATAGTGGGTCAGTGATAAAAGATGCTCCGGACTCCAAATGTTTATTCACTGCAGTGAATTTTGGGGGAACAAAAAAAAGGATTAAAAAAAGAAGTATAACACTTAGATTTTTAATATATAAAATATTATATACAAACCCTCTAAAATTTGTACACACGTAACACTTAAACCTCTGTCATTAATGTCTGTTAGAATATCTATTAGTAAATTATATTTAGACCTTCTGAATTTTATATGTGTATAATATTTAGACAAGTTTAAAATGTTATGTCATTTATTGATATAAAATTAAAAATAAAAAAATATTTTTTATTTGAAAAAATCATAATTAATATACAACTATATTTTCTATTGAAATAAAACTAAAAAAATAAACAACTGGTCAAACAGTAATTGACATAATATCTTATATTTTTAAATGGGGTAGTTTGATCGTTTAATAGATAGTATAATTATATATTAGTTATAATTTTTTAAAGAAAAAAATAGATTTTTAATTTTAATTTTATTTTAATAAAAGACATAATAGAACATGAATTTTGGTTATAAAATTTAAAATATTTGATATTCTATCTTTGATTGGATTATTTTTAATCTAAGTATAACATTTTAAACTTAATGAATCAAAGTATTACAAGCCTATAAACTTTAGGAGGCCTGATTATGATTTAGTAACGGATATTCTAACGAATATTGACGGTAGAAGTTTAAGTGTTGCGCGTATAAATTTTATAATATTTCAAATATTAAGAATCTAAGTGATTACGTGAAAAATTTCAGAGGGTCTGAATGTAATTCTCGCTTAAAAAAATAGGCAATGGTATTATGAACTTTTTTTAAAAAAATTGCTTTTTTCTTTTTTGCGTTTTTGCTTTTTGGCTTTTTAAAGCAAAAAATTAAAAAAAAATTTAAAAGTAGCGTTTATTTTTCAGCAAAAAAAAAAAAACTTTTAAAAAGCAAAATAAAAAGAATAATATTTTTTCGAAAAACAAAAAAAAATTACTTTTTCAAAGCAAATAACATATTTTACATAAAAAATATAAATACACGTCAATCCACCAAAAACACACACTCAATCCACCAAAAACATACACTCACACATGAGTACACTAATACACCAAAATATACACATACACACACTAATACACCAAAATATAAATATATACTAATACACCAAAACATACATGCACACACACGCACTCTCTCTCTCTATTCTATACTACTATAAATTGTCAATAAAAATGAAAAAATTTTGATCGACAACAATAACCCTACTAAAAAAATTAATATCACTCATATCCTTTCTAACATTAATTCAAATTAAATACATACAAATTAACTAAAAGATAATTTTAGTTAATTAACCCTAATGCATTTGGACTCTTAGCCTCCCATAATATACACCTTTCTTTCTACACCTCATTATACTGGACACTTAATCATTCGGTGGGTAGGGTCGTGAAGTTTTTAATACGTCACAATATCTTTACATATAGGAGAATAATTATTTTCATTCATAGAATTAATGGCCATAAAAATTACAACGAGCCATATATTGACGACATAATTTCTTAGCATAACAGCCAAACCTTCCATCTTCATAGCATCCATTCACTTCCCCTTTACTTAACTCTCAATCATTTACCATAAAATCCTTCATTTTCTGTCTTATTGTTTGGTTCTCATGTATCTATTAGGTCCACTAATTTGCATTTGTTGTAGTTTTACTCATATACTAATGTACTTTTGATCCAATAGTATTCCTTATATTGTGAAGACTTTGTCTTCTTAAGGTTAAGGGTTCAAGTTCTCCTCCCAAAAAAAAAAAAGTTTCAACTATACTCATAAACTCCTCATATTTTATTATATTCATAATATTATAGAACATTTTTCCACATCACTATTTAATGGATGAGTGTAGGATCACAGCTTTTTTGTGTTACTCAATTGAACAATAGTTTCCTTGGAATTTAGTAATGTCATAGATTGATTGTTTAAATGTGTCTCAATATTTCTTGATCTTTTTTTAATTGCCTATCTTGATCTTTTTTTAATTACTTTGTTGCATGCAGCTACCTTTTCTCTTACTCCATTATGAACTCCTTAGTCTCTAAGCATTCACAGGCTCAGGACAATTGATCACAGAATATACTGAATGTTTCGTCTACGCACACACACACACACACACACACACATATATATATATATATATACACGTACATGTACCTATCTATTTATAATCCACAATATAAAATAAGAAAGACATTAATAAATTCATTTGACGATCTCAAATAGACTCGTACAACGACCACCAACATCTCTCTCAAAATCATTCGCATTGCACTGTGCAGAGTCATAGTGATATAATGTTGAAAGTGATATTCTTTAATCACGGGACAGTAGCTTGTAATCCACTACACGTTCGTGTCTACAATATCTAGACCGAAAAAAATAAAATAAGTGCGGAGTCATAGTGACATAAGGTCCTGCAGAAATTCGTAGGATTTAACTAATGGTATGATGGACATTGCATCTAACTTGAGATAAGCACAGTGATGTTGCCTGCAATTGATGGTTGAGAAGTTGTATACAACTTGATTTGACGGAGTTAGATCGATTTTCAATAGAGACAAGGAGATTCCTAAATACTACCCTTCCCAATTCAGGAAATGAAATCTAATACATGTTGTTTCTCTTGAAAGTTTCTCTTGTGAGTTGTAGTTGTAGTTGGGAGACTGTTGCCTTGAGACTGTAAGTAGTAGTATGGTTCATTATTTGAAGCAAATGCCATTAAAGATAAAACAACACCAACCAATACAATTTCAGATACAAACATCATCCTGACCGTTTACAGAAATAATGTGCCATTTTTTTTCACATTAGGTACAATACAACTTTGTTAAGTGGTGGATGGAATCTTTGCTTCTTTTTTCCTTCTTTAAACTTAGCAAGAAGGAAAAGCCATGCACCTTGACTCATCTTTCCATTTCTTCTTTGCAATCTTCTTTCGGATAGAAAATTAAAATAATTCTTAAAGAAGGACAAAGTTGGTATCATGAATGAAAAAAGGAAGAGAAAAGAGCTATCAAAAGCATATCAGAGGAGATTGATGATCCAAGGCTGTTCCAGTTTTTCTTGCAAAGTGTATTTTATTTACCTGTAAAAGGCAAAAGAAAGCTAAATAAATGGTGTAGGATATACCGATGAATTCTTGGTGTCTCACTTTGAATAGGAAATGC